ACAGGACGGGAGAGTGTCATGCTCTCTGACACAGGTGACACACTGTACCTGTGAAAGATTTGTGGATTCTGTTGTAATCTTAATGACAATGAGCACAATAGTCTAATGATGGGAAGTGAGCCTTTAAAACTTCAAGTTTACTTAACAAGCATTTAAGCCACCCGATGGGCAGCTCCAGATCGTTAAGCCCAGTGCACACGCGGTGTAATAACTAACACTCACAGGACACTGCCTGTCAGGAGGTTTTCCATGCTTTGTCCTTGCACCAGCCCCATAAGGTGGGTGCATGTCAATCACGACTCCCCTCAGTTACAGCTGAGACCCTGGAACTCCATCCAGATCCATTTCAGGTCTGGTGAGCCACAGTGAAGCCAAGGCTTACTCCAGGAAGCATGGATCAAAGGTTATCCCACAGCTGCTCTTCTAGTACCCCAGGCTCTTAAAGTGATGGACTTGTATAGGTAAGGCTGACACATTTTTGGAGGGATTCTATTTGGTAACAGTATTTCTCTTGGGTAACCTGTAGCCTATGAACATTCCAATTTCACATCCTCAAATTTCCCTTCTAAAAAGTCACCAATGATATATTTGGCCAAGATATATAAAATGGGCAGATCAAGGTGTGATTAACCTAGGGCCACTTGAAGTAATTCTTTGGATGGTCTATCTTTACTGTTACAATGATGCCCCACAATAGACTGTTACATATGGTATTAGATGTGGCATAAGTTTGTCTTTACTGAGCAGGCTTCCCTTGAATACTCTCACCCATGGACCCCAGTGATGCTACCATAACTTGGCCCTATCACAAACCTGGAACTCAGTAGCAGAATTCTTCTATCTGTAAAGCACTGTACAAATCACAAAGCACTTTCTTATGCATTATCTCACTTGATTCCCACAACATCCCTCTAAGGAGAGGCAGGGATTATAATCTCCAGCTTGCTAATGAGGAAGTGAAGTGAGCTGAAACACCCCCGCTATGAGCAAAAAAGGCCACCTGGGCTACCCCGTGCTGTAAGCTAGCCAGCCTGGGCTACCCCGTGCGGTAAGCTAGCCAGCATTTCCTCACGCACTTTCACCAATTCTTCCCGTGGTCTCAGCCTGGCTTCTCCTAACACTCCAGCTTCCCTAAAGCGATGCCACCATCCAAAGAAGGGGCAGTCAAGACCTGTGTGTTAGCTAACTGCAAAGACAGGAACTCCCACTCAACTTTCTTCAGGTCAAATCCTTAGCAAACATTACTTCACAAATAAACACTGCGCTTCTTCTGGACTAGATACTGCATTAGATGGAGAAAAGTGGTGGCTGCCTGGGAAGACCCCATCTAATGAGGAGGGGATAACAGACCATTTCAGACGGCGATAACTCTCAAGCAAAGAAAGGACGAGGGCTTGGTGACAGGGTAAAGAGGCGGAAAGCTTATTTACACAGGGTCAGTGGAGGCCTCACTAGACAGATGACTTTCAGAACCGACTTTAATTCTTAAAAGATGGAAGAGAGGCCCGAAAGACTAGTCACTTTGCGATCCCCTGCCCCCAGTTCTGTACTACAAAAGGGTCCAAAGCATCAAGGAAGACCACACAGCTCACCTTTTGAAATTTGAATCCCACACTAACTTTTGCTCCACAACAATCCTGTTTTATGTTAGTAATTTACATCCTGGACTCTGAAGTTCACCAGTCTTCTCCACTTTAGTTTAAACTGTGTGAATAACGTCAGAACATCACAGCCATCACAGCTAGATTGTGCTCCTCCAGTGAGTTGTCACTCATCAGCAGCTCTCATAAAGCATGGCCAGCACCTGCAAAGGATGCTACGAGCATCCTGAAATTGAGGTACCAGTTCATGTTTATGGAGATTAAGAGTGGCTGCCTCGTAGTGGGAGTCAATGACATTCAAATTCCAGGAATTACCCTGGGCACCACCTTTCCCTCGGCTACCTTTCTAAAGCAACTTGATGGTATGCTGACAATCAGGTCAGTTGCAAGCATGGTAGATTGCACCTATAATTTAGGGAACTTGCTTTTAAAAGCTACTATTAGTATGAGCAGAAAGGCAGTATTACCTACTATAACTTTGGAGAAGTGGCAATAAAGTGTTTCATAAAAACAAAACAAAACAGGACAAAACACGCAAGACTACAAAATTAAGTCACACAAACAGCTCAAAAGTATCTATTGTGAGCCCAAAGTAGGAAATCCAACCCGTTAAAAATCAGTAATTCTACTTCTCAAAAATGTGAGTAATTCAGACATTTTATAACAGCCATTAAAAAAAAAAAAAAAAAAAAAAAAACAGATTTTCTTTCTTTCCAAGCCTTATCAGTGCCTGAGCCAATCCTTTTGGACCTTAAAATGTAAGACATGCTTCCCTGCATTTATTTATCAACATCAGCTATGTGCAAGGCTGCGTAAAATAAAAGCTACTCAAGGCAGATTGCCCGCCCTTGAGAAGTTTATCATCCAATTTATCTGCCAAGATCTAGATTTACAGTTCAAGATTTTTCACCACTTATTAGCAAACGTCCACCAGAACCCAGGTGAGGGAGTGGGGACAAGGACAAAGGGGCCAGTCCCCGTTTAAAAAAAAAAAAGGAAAGCCCTCATGTATCTCCTTTCAAAGCTTCTTATATTCAGAAAGGAATGGATTGATAAGAATCAGCCATAATTGGCAGGTTAGTAAGAAACCAGCTTATTATTTTTGTCTTTATAAAATTTGCCCTTTTGCTGATATAGGTATTTAGACTATCCTTGGTCTCTTACTTAAGCAAACTCTTTCTTAAAACTCCGTAATTGCATACACGTTTTAAGACAGGGGTTTAAAAAGTAAAGGGGTAGACTTGGTGAACTCTGATGTTCCAGGCTCAACAGACGCAGATCCCGTAGGACTTAAGGAAGTTTAAAACTGTAGAACCCCCCCTTTTTTTTTCCTTTCCCCGGGAGGTTTAAAAAAAAAAAAAAAAAAAAAAAAAAGGCAATTTATACCTCACCTTTCTTCACCCCTGACAGTTGCCTGGAAACCAGTCCTGCCCTACCTGTGTTGCAGGTGTAACTCCCGTCACATCTCTGTTAAAGCTACAGTCTATTCTTACTACACTTAAGTTTATGACTAACAATCTATTCACATTTTTATCAGGTAGGAGACTGGTTTCTTTCAAGCAATGATGAAATCCTAATAAAGACCGAGGAAGCACCCATCCAACACAGCCAATCACGGTTAATTTGAACAAAGATACGATACACGTATAAATATATGATATTGCCAAGGAGCCTTTGCGATTGAACAGTTCATTCTGCAGTTTCATTCCTTCGGTAACATTTAATTCATTTAAGGCAAAGAGTCGCGTTCCTGGAGAGGAAAAGGCCACGGAACAACTCGGATGAATTAAAAAAAAAAAAAAAAAAAAAAAAAAAAGGCAATGACCTTCGTCGCCGAGTCGGACTGCGACTCAAAACTGGTACCAACCGGAGACTAGCAACCTCGGAGCCCGCCAACAGCTTCTCGCTGGAGCTTTCTGAGGGGTGCGCGGGGTATGAGGGAAGATGGAGGGGCCCCTGGCAGCCCCGCAGCATCCCCGGACCGCAGAAGACCCTGCAGCCGCCGCTCCGGGGCCCCGGGCTGGGGAGACGTGTCGAGCGCGCGCCGGTGCATGGCCCCGGCGGGAAGCCGAGAGCGCCCCGGCCCATCCCGCGCACCTCCCCTGAAAGCAGCGCAGCCGGCGCTCCGGGTCCAGCCCGCTCGCTCGCCCTCCCTCCCCGGCGCCCCCGCGCCCCGGCGCCCCGGCTCCCGCCAGGCCCCTTACCCCCGGGGAGCGGGGCCCCGCGGCGCCCTCCCGCGCATGTCCGTTCCGGCTGGCTCAGCGCCGCGGGCTCCGGGGCCCGAGCATCGCGCAGGCGCCTCGCCGCTCCCTCGCCTTCTCTCTCTTTCTCTCTCTCTCTGCTCGCTCGCAGGCTTGCTGTGCTCGCGCTCGCTCTCCCGCTCGCAAGCTCTCTCGCTCTCGCACCACGCAGCCCGCACTCCCAGCCTCGCACTCGGCCGCCGCCGCAGCCGCTGCCGCCGACGCCGCCCGTTTATATAGCATGGGCCGACAGCGTGGCGCCGACGCTCGCGGCCCCGCCCACCCCGTGCAGCCAATCGGAGCGGCCGGCCGCTTAAAGGGGCAACGCCGCCGCGGCGGGCAGAAGCGTCGGTGTGGGCCCCGCCGGGCGTCGCCGGCGGCCTCGTCTCCCGGAGGGGACGTTTCTGGCTGCGCTGCCTCTGCGCGAGCTGCCCAGCCCCAGGGACACTGAGTTTTCTCCCAGGAGGCTGTGAGCAGCCCTGTTTCCAGCCCCGGGGACGGGAGTGGCGCTCAGGAGCACTTGGGCCGAGGAAGCCGCCCTGGTGGGGCGCAGGGGCTTGGGGTGGAGAGGGGCACCCCGAGGTATAGATGGGTGGTGAGGGGCGGCGAGGGACAGGAGAGCACGCCGGGAGAGCCGAGGGATGGCAAGGAGAGCGGTGAGGATGCAGGCACTGTGGGCATGGTGAGGGACAGCCAGGGATGGAGGCGGAGGACCATGAAGGAAGTGGCTGGGAACTGGGACGGGGCGGGGGGCAGTGGGGAACAGCCCGAGCCTGGGGGCAGTAAGGGACGGCAGGGGTGGCCGAGGCAGCAGGGCCACCCGGACACCGCAGGGGAAGCTGCACGGCACCGAAGCCAGCGGGCAGGGAGGGACGGGCTAACACAGTACGCTTGGAGGGGCAGGGCGAGCCGCTGCAGGACACACGGGGGACCGTGGCTAGAGGGGTCAGTGAAGGAAGGACAGTGTGGGAAAGCGAGGGACAGTATAGGAAGGTGAACGACAGCATGCCAGGAGAGAACCCCAGGGCCAGTCGGCCATGCTCTGTGAGCAGGATCAGGGAGGCCTCACTCCACACTCCCTGCCCCTGGCCTGAGGCAAAAAGAGAGGCTGATGTTGGGGCACCTGCCTCAAGCCTGTCCCCCAGCCCTCCTGGTTTACCTGTCCAACTCGGGCTGTTCTCCATGTCTCTTGGCCCCAGGGTAGCTGCTGATGCCCAAGGACAAAACGCCATCAAGTCTGCAGGGAGGAGGTTTCTTGGGGCAGAAATCCGGTGATGCAACTTAGGTTTATAGTTTAACCGAAAAATAAATAATACAACGATAAACCAAGCGTAGTTAAAGAAAAAAAGCAAACAGATTGAAGCCCTCCAGTTTGAACTAGTACAAATTTCCCTAATGGTGTCCCGCAGAGTAGAGGCCACAGACCTGGGGCTGACCCCTGTGGACTGCACAGAGCCCTTCTTGTATTTCAGCAAGAATGCCCGAGAGTTATATGCTCAGCACTACCTAATTGAGCCAGTTTAACATATGGAATGAGGCTCTGGCCTCGTTATCTGGTTAACTATTAACGTCGTGCCCCATGAAATGATTTGCCCTTTCCAGTACTGACTTGCATTCTTTTTTAATTTAACTCAAAGGCCTAATTTTAGATTCAAGGCCTTAAACACCAGATTTTAAAAAAAAAAAAAAAAAAAAAAAGGAAAAGAAAAATCTCAAGTATTCCTTTGCCGGTTTTCAGCGGCAGACTAGCCAAATGCTAGATAGAGTGCTACCCTCCTCCTCTTTCTGATGGCTCCCGCTGACTGACAGACAGGGGCTGGTGGGTTGTTTCCCACGCCCATGCTTCCAGAAGTTCAATTCTCCCATCTTTTTATTGCCTTTATCCACAAAGTAAGTGTTTTAATATTATGGAAATTTGCCATTACCAAATTAACTAGATATTTATTATTTACTTGCTTATTTAAGGTTTGAGACAGTTTACTCTGTAGTCCAAACTGGCCTAGAACTCATGGCATATGTAGCTCAGGTTAACCTTAAACGTTAGTATTCAGGCATCTGTACACCTGCCCTTGGGGTTCTGACGGGACACGCCCTCAGCTGCAGCCACTAAGAGCACCGGCTGTGCACGTTCAACATGCTCCTTTTTAAAAGGGCCCTGCCCCCTCCCATCCCCCCTTCTGTTCCTCTCTTTCTCTTTCTGCCCCTCTTTCCTCTCTCCTGCTTTTCCTGTCCCCAAATGCTGATCTTCCCACTCCCCTTTGCTCTTTTTATGATCCTTTTCAACAACAATAATAATAATACCTCTACTGGAACCCTGTCCCATGGTGTCTTGAACACTGTTTTTTTATTTTATTTATTTTATTTTTATCGCAACATCAAATGTGGTGACCCTTGCGCCTCCGGAGTGTTGAGATTTAGAGTCAGGAAGTCACCACATCCAGCCTGACCAGGCTTTGAGAGTCACAGAGAGTCACACATGGCCCTCACCTTTCATATGCATGGTTGATGCATATGCTATCCTTCCCTCCCCTTCTCCTACTCTTCCTTCATCCCTTTGTGTGTGTGTGGTGTGTGTGTGGTGTGTGTGTGGTGTGTGTGTGGTGTGTGTGTGATGTGTGTGTGTGGTGTGTATGTGTGTGGGGGTGTGTGTGGGGTGTGTGAGGTGTGTGTGATGTGTGGTGTGTGTGTGTGTGCGCATGTGTGTGGTGTGTGTGTGTGTGTGGTGTGTGTGGTGTGTGTGTGAGTGTATGTGTGTGGTGTGTATGTGTGTGTGTGCGTGTGATGTGTGGTGTGTGTGTGAGTGTATGTGGTGTGTGTGTGTTTGTGTGTGGTATGTGTGTTTAGTGATCTACCTGAGAAAGTCTTTTCAGACCTCACAGGACAGCATTTACTGAATGGGGCCTTCACCGAGGTCCAGTTTCATCCACAAAGAACTCCAGTTACCCTGTTTCTGGTCACCACAATGCAGTTGTAATTTGTGATCTAGCCTTATTGGCATGCTTTTATATCCCCTATTCATAAACCAGTGATAATCGCCACAGCAACCCTGGAACACACCCCTTCTGTGGAGAAAGACATCAACGGGGTACCAAGTCTACCCGTGTGAGCTGTGGGATGTTCTAACGCTTTGGTAAATTATTATATTAAAAAAATAATCACAAAATCGTTTTAGCAACACATGAGTAATCTGGTTTTCCTCTTTGGACCTCCTTTAAGCTTGCAAAAACAAACATTTAGCTTACATTTTTTGGGGGGAACAATTAGAACTCCTACTTCCCTGACTTCAGCTCATACTTATTCATATACTGAAACTTTCTCTGCTGTGGGGAAATTATGTGAGGAAATCTGTACTCCACAGGCTGCTTAATAGTATTTTACAATAGTGTTGATATGCCAAAAACAATATAGAGCGGTTTGAGAAGCTTTTAAAATGAAAATGTTAAGACGTGAAGTGGTTCTGGCATGTTGGTCAAACACCGGAAGGGAGAGTTAGAGAAAATATCCTTTCCTAACTCGTTTTAAATTGTCTCTACCCAGAAATTGGAAGACTTTTCCTTTTTAAAGACTTACAAAGTTAGTTAGCTTTGAGACCATGTCCTCAGGAATTTTTATTAGCTGGCTTCTTTAAAAGCAGAAGTTAAATGGATATCTTAAAGCATCGGTCTTATGTCATGCTGACCCAGATTGTCATTTTGCGCCGCTCTCTTTTAGCCGCTCTGGAACAAGAACAAGGCTGAGGTTCTAGAAACCTGAGATCCAAGGTGGTACTTTTCTTCTGTGCTCTCAAAGGAATCCCAGTCAGGCCTAAGCTCGAATGTGCCACACAGTGCCTGAGCAAACGTATGTTTATGTTGTTGCTCTTTTAAACTTGTAAAAGACTACACACATTTTGTTTATTCTTCTTGATTGTAAGTGTTTTGTATACTTTGTTCAAAAAGAAATACTTTAAAGAGGAACACTTTTTGCATTACCTTATTACTCATAGGGTGTTTGTTTCTCTCAATACATAAGATATATTAGACACTCTTCACTAGTCTGTAGATAAGATGCAATAAAAATACATGAACAGTAGAAAATTTACATTTCTTAGAGGTCATTTGCTTACTGTACCACACTATTGGAAATAACCACACACACTCACACACACACACACACACACACACACCTACATCTGCAACAAACTCTGTGGGTTACTTTAAAGCTTGTAGAAGAACCTGATGAGACTCAGGCTGCCCAGATGGCTCATCTGGTAAAGGTTCTTGGGGCCCAGCCTGATGACCCGAGGTGGCTCTATGGGACTCACATAGTGGAGAGAGCCAAGTCTGCAAGTTGCCCTCTGACCTCCACACACACACTCACACATAAGTGACTAAATGTTATTTTTGAAAAGTTTAAGAGGTCCTGGGAAGGAACTGAAAGGGAGGGAATGGGGTGGACTCGATCAAAGTACACAATAGTCGTGGATAAAATTCTCAAACAATTAAAACAAGTAAGAACTCTGAGACTTCCTCACAAGGAGTGCTGCGTGGCAGCAGAGGCTTCCACTGGACTTTGAGCTTTAGCTGCCACAGGAAAAGTAACACTCACAAAAACTGTAACATTCCTGTTTTTCCTTCTGTGGTTCAGGATGTTTCTGTCTTTTCTAGATTTTCTCCTTAAAAGGGCTACGCACCACACATACACACACACACACAACACACACACACACACACACACACACACACACACGTGAGATGACTGTGTGTGCTTGTGGTAGAATTTTCTTCAGAATGGATACAGGTTCTAGCTATTGATTGTTTTTAATTGAGTCACCTTTTATGTATGTAAGGCTCCCTTAACAAACACCCTGTTTCTAATTCCAGCCCCATCTCTAGAACTCATAACTTTAAGAAGTTTTTAGCATCCTATGGATTAATTCACTTATATAGATAAACTAGATTTTTTTAGACAGCTTTTTTTTTTTCAAATTTCTTTTAAACGTTTTCACATTTAAGCATATTGTGTGGAGCAGATACTGTATTTCCTATTAGCTGGCCAGTAGGGTGTGCTCTAGTCCCTTGCCAAATTAAGTAATTAAAATATTAATGTAAACACTGCATTAAGAGATTTCAGAAACTTAATTTATTTCTTTATGACTCCCAGGATGTGTAGGGTGTGTTTCTGTAGATACAGGTTACTCATGCATACGTAGCACACATATGGAAAGTCAAATTGGGTTATTAAGTAGGGAACGCTTGATCAGCTTACTTCTTTGGCTGAGCTCTAAAATAATTGGATATTTTCTTTTACTCTGAGTGAAGAAGAATAAAGAAAGTGGTACAATAGGGTGCATGCTTGTAATCTCAGCAACCAGGAGGCTGAGGCAAAAGGATCTGAAGTCCAAAGTGTCCTGGGCTGCATGGTGAGACTCTGTCTCAAACAAACGGACAGATAGACAGAAAGCAAGCAAGCAGCAGCGGAGAGTACAGCCTGGAACTTGAGGGTCTGTGTTCCAAGCCTCACTTGGCCCTCCCAAGCACTGACTGTATGTCTTTGGGCAAATCACTTAACCTCTGGTGTCCAGTAACCCTGGGATGAGAGTGGTTCTTACAGCAGGGCTGTTGACAGACAGATTAGCACGGAAAGCATGTAGAATACAGCTTGGAGCCAGTTAGGGTTCAATAAATGTCACTTTTTATATTATTGGTTGTATCGTTATTGTTTGTTATCTATACCTAATACAATCTGTGGAAGAGGTGATTTCATTGCATCCCAAGAAGACAGATGATCCATAGGATGTCCTCCCTGACTGCAGCGTATCCTCTTCTGAGGCTATGAAACCATAAGACAGAGAGAAGCCTGCCTCAGAGTGAAGTGCCAGGTCCCAGCTTCCCAGGGGCCTGAAGCCAAGGTGGGAAGTAGCTGTGAAAGTGTGTAGGTGACCCTGAGCTCAAACTCAGCACACGCACCAGCACGTGCCTCTTCAGGACACGACAGAAGCCTAAAGCCCCTGCACAGCCCTGTATGTGAATGTGAATGGGTGTACTCGATGACTGGATATGAATATGAATACATTTACATGCATGTTTATAAATATAAATCCATGCACACACACACACACACACATACACACACACACAATGTCACAGCACTGTAAAGCTGTAAGAGGAGTTAAGTTAATGAGTTCTCTCATCCTTAATGGTTTTCTTTGAGAAGTTAGGGAACTCTCCTCTACCGTGCTCCAGCTCCTGAGGGTCTGGAACACATCCACCTTTCAGCACTGGAGTGAGAGAAAGAGCTGCTTCAGTCAATGGGAGTAACCGCTGTTTCCCACAGAAGACCTAAATCTAAGTTAGGAACAGGGAGGCGAGGACCTCCTGAGTCAAAGAGGGAAATGTGCTGTGTTTGTGGCTCATGGCAGCCCTTGGGTGCCCAACACAAGAGCGTGTGAGCACTGGAGAGTTCATTCTCTCAGGCCAAATTTAGCG